CCTGCCTCCCCGCGGGTCCCCGCGCCCGCTGCCCTCACCCCTGCCCCGCGGAGAGCTCGACGTTTCGGGGAGGGAGTTTCTTTTGATTTTTATTTCCCGGCCGCTGCCGGGAGCCGTGAGGATAAAGCACAACGGGCTGGTTCCTCCGCGTGTGCCTGTCGCTGCCGGTGGCTTGCTTTCCTTCTTTCCTTTTTTTTTTTTTTTCCCTTTCCTTTTTTATAGGCGCATGTTCCCTTTCCTAAGTTTTAATATTTCTGGTCTCGACCCCACGGCTCACTACAATATTTTTGTGGATGTAATTTTGGCGGATCCCAACCACTGGAGATTTCAGGGAGGCAAATGGGTTCCTTGCGGCAAGGCGGACACCAATGTACAAGGCAAGTTCCTCCAATTAACACTTTTCCCGACACATATGTAGGTGAGAATGATTAATTAAAGCCTTTGTGGACTGGCTCTGGCGACTTCTTAAACGAGAATGAATGGGCCAATGATGCTTTTTTTTTTAAAAAAAAAAAAAAAAAGGAGGGTGGAGGAGAAAGCAAAAGGTGTTCGGAAAACGCTGTTTTAATCCTTCGCGGTCAAAATGAAGGGAGTTTCGGCAGTAAAATACCGCTAACTTTAACGGGGTCCTTCGACCCCGTGTGCCGCTGCAGCGGCAGAACCGGGGTATACGCGAGAACTGTGATGTGGTTGTGTTTTTTGTTGTTTCGCTTAGGAAACCGGGTGTACATGCACCCCGACTCCCCCAACACGGGAGCCCACTGGATGCGCCAGGAAATCTCCTTTGGGAAACTAAAACTTACAAACAATAAAGGAGCATCAAACAACAACGGGCAGGTCAGTGGGGGAAGCGCAGACGCTCTGCCAGGCTTCGTTTTTAACGCTCCAGGCAAAATCCTGCCGTTTCCGAAAGGACGTGTATTTTTGCAGATCGCGTCGCTGGGTGAAAAGAAGAGGGGGGCAGGGGAGGAAAAGCCCTCCCGTTTATTTTGCCACGGGCCTCGTCGACCCCGAACGCGTTGCCCCGGCCGACGCGGCTGCCCGCTGTGGCCGGGGGAGCCCGCAGTCGTCCCGGGGAGGGGGGGGTGTCCCGCCGCCCGCGGGCATCGCTCTCCCCGTCCTTCTGGCTCTAATGTCCTCCTCTTCCCGCGGCCCCCTCCCTCCTTTCCTTCTGTCTGGCAGATGGTGGTTTTGCAGTCCCTCCACAAGTATCAGCCCCGCTTGCATGTGGTGGAGGTGAACGAAGACGGGACGGAGGACACCAACCAGCCGGGCAGAGTGCAGACCTTCACCTTCCCCGAGACCCAGTTCATAGCAGTCACCGCCTACCAGAACACCGATGTAAAGACCTCCCCGGTTTATTCCGCTTGCGGTCGCCCGAGCTCCCCGCTCGGCACCCCGCCGAGCCCGGCCCGGCCCTGCCCGGCCGCTGCGCTCCCTGCCCCG